TACAGCTTCTGGGTCATGTGGCCAGTATGACTAAGCCGCTTCTGGCGAACCAGAGCAGTGCACGGAAACGCCGTTTTTACCTTCCCGCCGGAGCGGTACCTATTTATCTACTTGCACTTTGACGTGCTTTCGAACTGCTAGGTTGGCAGGAGCAGGGACCAAGCAACAGGCGCTCACCCTGTCGCGGGGATTCGAACCGCCGACCTTCTGATCGGCAAGTCCTAGACTCTGTAGTTTAACCCACAGCACCACCCGCGTCCTACAGTAATAACAGATCCCCTTAAAAGGCCAGCACCTGTTGGAGTTTTCAGAGAACAAATGGCAGTTGTGTTAACATTCTTGCTAAAAGGGAGAAGACAAGATGTTGGGTGAGGGGGTTGAGTGAGGACCACCAGGCAATGACCCTGAGAATGAGTGTTCTTAGTAATTTTCCTTGTGAATGCAAATTAATATTAATATCTATTGTTATGTAATTATGCTAAATGCATTCTGTACATTTCTTACAAGGGTGTAAATGAGCTATTTACAAGGGTGTAAATGAGCAACTATCTGTGCCCAACAAATTCTGCAAGGAACCTTATTTCTTATCATACAACAGACACACCTTCAGATGAACCATAAGCATTAAATACACTACGAGATGAAATTATACTTCCAGGGGGAGTTAATGCCCAGTTAAATGGGATTTATACACTTTATTTTGACACTTTTGGTGGGAAGGAAGAACAGAGCCCTCTTCTGACTATTTTTGGCATTACTTAGCTTTGATGAATAGATGTCAGGGTAGAAATGAATATTCAAAAATGAATATTTTGAATTCTCATCATACAGGTATTTTGAATAAAACATTTTGAAGCAAATTTTGAATCTGAACATGGTTTATAAAAACTACTATAAAAACTTCAGCAGTGTGCCATCACTGAACTGTGATCTGAAAAGCCCTGCTATACCATTGCATCAGCTATCAATTCTCTCAAATGCCATTGTATACTAGTTACCAAATACACAAGGTATCTGTCAAATATGTAAGTCACATATTACTTAGTTTACTAAGTTGCTAAATTCAGCAAATTTATTGAAATTCAATAAATTCAGAAAATATTCATGTACTGAATTTTCATCTGGGGAATATTTGTGAATACAATCTACAAAGAAAATGAGAATCTTTGGGAGCAAACCAGTTTCACCTTTAATATTTGTATTTAAGGCTAGGAACACCTTTAATTTCCCTTTAAAATTTGGGAGCCTGTAACCCTGCATAAATATATGGTGGAAATTAGTAGTGTATGGTTTTTCACAGGCGATTTAGCCACTGCAGTAAAATGAAATAATTTGATCTCCATCTTAAACCAGGGCTGGGTTGTGACCACAGTCCTTGCTGGCATCACACATGTTGATGAGGGACGATAGATGACCATCCATTTGCATCCATCAGCAACCGCTTTTGAAAATAAAGATTTACACTCTGCCCTTCGAATCAAAATTCTCAAGATGGCTTACAAAATTTCAAACAGAATAATACTAATTAAGAACATATACAAACACATTATGGAACATGATAAGGGTATCCATGGCTTCTGGTCATGACGGTTACATTAAACGTTTAGGTTTCGGGGCAAAATGCATCTAAATATCATTTACTGATAACAGCAGTGGAAAAAGGGGCTTCTGCACTCCTGCTCTGCTTGTGGGTTTCCCAGTGTCTCCTTGTTGGCCACTATGGGAAGCTAGATAAGCCATTGGCTTGCTTAAGTGTGGCTCTTTGTATGTTCTGTAGCAGACATGCTCAACTGGTCGACCACAATCGACAGGTAGATTGCCAGGGTGCTCCAGATTGATCGTGGGATTAGATAAAGTTGACAATGAATGTCGCCCCCCCGCCCCCGGCACTAGGTCGCATTGCCGCCACTGCAGCAGCTAGGAAAGCTGGGTCATCGGCAGAGTGGGGGGATGGAGGAAGGGGGGTGGACTGTTGGGTGAGCTGTTTTTTGCAATTTCCCCCAAAGAAGCTCAAGAACTCTTGTCGATCCTCCCCCCAAAAAGCTCTGTACAATGACAATGGAAAGGAGGAGGAGGAGGAGGAGGAGTTTGGACTTGATACCCCGCCTTTCACTCCCCTTAAGCAGTCTCAAAGCGGCCCACAAAGCGGTCCCTTCCTCCCCCACAACAAACACTCTGTGAGGTGAGTGAGGCTGAGAGACTTCAAAGAAGTGTGACTAGCCCAAGGTCACCCAGCAGCTGCATGTGGAGGAGCGGAGATGCAAACCCGGTTCACCAGATTACGAGTCCACTGTCTTAACGATTACACCACACTGGCTCTCACACAGCACTGGCTCTCTGGGTAGATCACTGCCAGTTTTTTTTATACTGGGAGTAGATCACAGTCTCTTGGGAGTTGGACGTGCCTGTTTTATAGTTATGGAACTTCCTCTTCAGCTGGTAGTTTTAGGTGGAAGGCAAAGGCTGTCTTGTCTACTTGAGTGTTTGCTAAAAAAAATTCATTTTGCTAGAATTAGGCTATAGTCCTAACCTTTCTTAACTGGAAGCATGCTTCAGTGAATTCAATAAGACTTATTTCTGAGTAGGCATAATTAGGTTTGTACTGTTAATTGGTTTTGCATTTTGTCATTTTTGGGTGTGATGTAATGCTTATAGTTTTGCCTTTCGTCCAGTGCAGCACTAAATAAATGTCTCATCTGTGCAAGGATTTACTCCTGGGGCTCCCTCAACTCTTTGAAACAAATTCGGGGTGGATCCAGAGTGCATGCAGGGGGAGAAAAGATGGGATAGTCCCATTTTGCAAGCAGAAATCCTTGTGCTGTATTGGACACAAGCCTCAGTTTTGAATTTATTTTTGATTCATAAGGGTAGCCATTTGAACCTGTCCTTATCAATTTAATCTACCATTTTTGAAATGGTAGACTCTCCTTTTATCCACTGCCTGTCTGGCTGTCTTTTTCATTGCTATAATATTTTGTTGATTTGCTTTAATGACTTTATATGCTGCCTTTAATAAAAAAAATTGACAGAGAGTTGGCATTACGATGTTAGATTTTGTAGAAAATATTGAGCTGGAAAAATGTCTTATGTAAATTAGGCTAATATTCACAGCGTAATTTACATGGAGGAGAAATTCAGTTGTGTCAAGAAAATTTTCTGATGCCCTAGAAAGTTATCTAATTTAACGTGCTTATTTAACTTGCTTTTAGGAAACAAAGTTGGTAATAGCAAGCTTGCCTACAATTATATTTGCAATTGGCATCCATTCATAGTTATTAATGAGCTCATGAAATGGGAAAGGTTTCATGGAAAAAGAAAGCACCAAAAATATTCTGTCCACATCACTGGATGGCATAGATATAGTTTGTGTAAATTCTAATTGGCCAAGTTATTTATACCTGAAGGAATCATTCTGTGCTTTTTAGTTGACCATCTGCCCAGTACAGATTGTAAACTAGAGGAGTATTTGTTTTATGATGGAAATCATAAATACTGTAGGTAAAAACAATGCCAAATGCAATATCCAGAAACTAATTCTTGGACGCAAGAAGTAAAAATATTAAAAATGGAACACAATTAGAAAAATGCATGACTACTAAGGGTATGCTATTTTAAAATTAGTAAATAGATCTCCTATTAATCATACAGACAGAGTAATTAAGTAACTGGGAACAAATCTACAGCATTGATTCTAACAGCCTCTGCCCCTTAAAAGTGGTTTTGTAATAAGGGGAAGAAGTTTGAATTGAAATATCTCTCCATTCCTCTATTATAATTCTCATCAGTGCATATTTTTATTAAAAACAGACTCTTATGCACTCAAATATTAAAATAAAGCACTTTACCAGAATTTAATTCAGCACATATAATTTGATGGTGCTTATTCTGCCCCCCTGTGCTGTGAAGTGTTATCGAATATGAGCAAAATATGCTTGCATTATATTCCACAAAGGCTGGCGTATGAGCCAACTGTAAGTGCAATTATTCAGAGCTGAGCTAGCAGAATTCTTACAAGGGCTGAAAGAAGTATCTAAATATCAGATTAATAATTGGATTCTGACAAGTTTGCAATTCATAACTGTGTATTAGATGTAAAAAAAAATCTGTTTATTCAGCACTAGCATGAAAAACAGAAAGATTTGTTTTGTATGGGGCATTTTCTAAAGCAGAGGAAGAAAAGAAATGGTGGAGTTTTTCATCCGGTTTGACAAACTATCTGTGCAGTATGGGAGTTTTGAAGAGGGACATCAATATAATTTAAAATTAAGATGACTCCAGAGTAAATACGTCAAATGCTAATATATGACTTCCACAGATGTTGTGGCAGGTCATCTTTTTCTTTTTTCTTTTAAGTGTATGATTGTTGTCAAAAATGTGGAAAGTGACTGACATTTCTCAGGTTATGTAATAAACCATGCCTCTGCTTTTCTACAGCACCGTTCAGACATTTGTCTGAATATATGTAGGGATCACGCTCACTTGCCTCCACCCGTGTGCACATTCAGAGAAATGCTGGAAATTAGCCCATGCATGCAGACATTGTGCATGTGTAAGATGTGGCCACACAATGAGGCTGCAGTAGCCACCAATTGTGCAAACATAATCTACGATATGCAGTTGGTGTGTGCACCTGAAGAGGGCCAGTAGTGAGTTGATGCTGTGCTTTCCCTCTGTGTACATTTAAAGCACGTTTTGCATGCTTATAATAAGAATGCAAAACTGCATAGAGTAACAATGTGCTGGGCTGGGTTGAGTTCTTTTGCTATCCCAATGTAATCAGTGTGGATGAACAACACTGCCAATTTCCATTTCTCTCAATTTTTCACTTTTCCAGTCTTTAGCTTCTGTTTTCCACAATTTTGCATCAGCTTTTTTTTTTTAAAGTCCTCATGAAAATTCATCAGCATTTTAGGGTGGTTATATACATTTTTACAAGCAAATGCATTTTTCATAGAATCATAGAATTGTAGAGTTGAAAGGGATCGTTTAGCCTTCCCCTCCCCCCCCCGTAGGGCTTGAATCCACGACCCTGAGATTAAGAGACTCATGCTATACCAACTGAGCTATCCATCATGTTACTTTCATTAATTCCTGCATTAATGAACACTTTCCCCTAATATCCACATTTTTGTACAGAATATTGAGTTTGAGAACTGCGCTGTAACATTTGAAAAAGTGAGACTTTTGAGGGATGCCAACATTTCAGTTTCAGAGAATACAAAATGAGGACATTTCATATTTGAAATGCAAACTGAGCTGAATATCTCCCGCATCCATTAACAACGACTTTACAACTCACTGGCATGCTTGAAAATAACTTTGTTTAAAATAGCTTTACAAAATTGTGTATGCTGGGTAAAATTGCACATGAAAATGTATATATAAGGAGAAATCATGACTGAAATTCCAATGAATATTCCTGAAGACTGAAAAACAAACAAATCACACACTGATTTGGAAATATGGAAAACTGAACATGAGATTGGAAAAATGAGAAACAGAGAAGCTGAAATTGGCAGATTCATTCACCCCTTTTAGGGTGTGTGGCTAACATTTTTGAAAAGCTACTGGGGTGTTAGGGGAGGGTTGGTACCTCTGGTGGGGGGGCATGTCATGCTCCTTCTGGGGTAGCTTGTCCACCTTTGGTCCCTAGCCTGAACTCAGGTCTCAATCTGTGGCTCCTAGAAGCTGTCAGCATGTGCCAGTAGCCACATCCCAGGAATGGCTTCAGCTGGCCAGCTAAACCAGATGAGGGTAGCCGATGGGTCCCAAACCCTCAGTGAGTTAGGGACTTTGCCTGCATGTGAAAATAGGCTTTGGTGGATTGAACAGACAAGACCAATATTGAGTCCAACAGTCAAGAAGACCATTTTTTCATGTGCTGTAGAGGGAAGTGAGGGGCAGATGGGACTCGTCAGCCTGGGAAGGTAGCCCATCTAGGAGTTATGGGATATCCTCTGGAGAAGAAAAGGCTAACCCTACACAAATCTTAGGGAGTCCCTAAGATGGTTGGATGGTGCTTTGTACGCCTCCTTCCAGCAACTCCTGCAGCCAAGCTAGTGCCAAGCATACTGCTCTGCTTTCCTTTGGATGACATCAGTGAGACCAAGAGTAGAGTCTTGTTGTCTGGGAAGTCCAGGACCTCCACATACACTATCCAGGCTTGCACCCTGGGAAGGTCCTGCTAACATAGTGGTTTGACTTCACCTCAGGGGTGTACTCCATTGTCTCTGAAGACAGACAGATGCCAACAACTGCTAAATCTGAAAGAATAATATTGGAATTTTCGTAGCACAGGATAATTGCTGGTTTTTGTTTCTTTCTAACAAGTTGTTCTGTTCGCTCATGATGCCATATTAATAAAATGTAACTTTTAAGTGTTTACATATACCAGCTTCTACCTGCTGTGCAAGCTGTTATATGAAAATTTGATAGCCCAAATAAAATAGTAAGGAAGTCATAATTAGGCTAAAGGCTTTCTTATGTAAATGCCACGCTACACTCTCTGGAGTTTCAGCAGCCCAAATTCATTCTGGTAAACAACGGTTTTCTTATTCTCATTTCCAAAGCCATCTCAGATTTTGGTTGCTGTTATTTTTGTTTGGTTTTGCAATATTTTGTTTTACTATGATTAAACATTTTTGTTTTATTTTTGGTCTTGTAGTTTATGGCCATATTGGTAATGAAAATGAAAAAATCAAACTGTATAATAAAAACCCTCTTTTAGAAAATATTTTTTTTTCCCATATTGGTGTGAATATGCTGGAAAACATTAAATGTTTGTACAGATAACCTGTGGTGAATAAGGCTGTGATGTTCATCAGTGACCAGTGAGGGAGTTTGCCAGAATGCGGCTACTGAGGTGGGAAGGCAACCTGATCAGAAAGAGTCAGGAGGCCTTGGTGAGTTCAGGCTCAAGTGCTAAACTGTTGATTGGCTCTTGATATTCAGTTTAGGCATGAGATAGTAGCCAATCAGGATCTGTGCTTTTTCTCCAGTGATGGCTAAGATGCCCCCCTTCCTCCATTGCCAGTTCTCAACCATTTCTGGTAAGGGAATACTTTCAAATCCCTACTACAACCACTTCAGTGGTCACTATTGGCGATTTGAAAAGGCATCTTCCTAACAGCCAGTGCGAAATAGTATCATGTATGAAATAGTCTCTCCCTAAGAGCCCCAAACCCAGGCAGGAAAAGTTAAATGTACAGCTGACGCGACCATTTGCGTTGATCTGTAACATTTCTGCAACCGTAGTTCATGATGTCTTCTTAAATTGGAATTAATGATTGGTGGAAGTTCAGAAAGTCCCAAGAAGGCAATAACTTTTCTGTAGCATGTCTGCTTTGTTCTTCTGCTACTCTGTACTCCTATTTGAGAAAGCTGGTTTGTGACGATGGAATCTTAACTGGAGGGCTTCAGAAATGAATTTCCCCCATCTGGAAAACTGCAAAACATTACACAGTAAGTTCAAACCCTCTCTCAATCTTAAGCCTGGCTTGAAATAGCAACTAGCCATATTGGCTGTGTCATACTTCCACTGCCAATGGTTGGGAATCACAAGTTGGGAGAGTGCTTTTTCACTTGGATTCTGCTTGCAGACCCAACATCAGGCTGGTCACTGTGAGAACAGGATACTGGATTAGATAGGTCCTTGGTTTAATCCAGCAGGGAACGTCTCATGTTGCTGTTGTTGTTGTTAATTGAATTTATATACCGCCCTATACCTGCAGGTCTCAAGGTAGTTCACAGAATAAAATCAAAATATAAAACCACAAAATACATAATCAAAATAACAACAACCCAATAACACCCCCCCACACACATTTTAAAAGGGCATAGGATGTCAATTCAATCAACCAAAGGCCTGGTTAAAAAGGAACGTCAACTCAGTATCAACTGCCTCTACACTCAGGCTTACTGGTCATGCCCACCCAAAAAAGCACTCTTATAACTGGTGGAGTGTATGATCATCAACTGGAAGGACTGGTAGGAGGAGTAATGTCTCATATTTAAGGCCTGGATGCTTATGTGGACTATGCAGAAACACTGAGGAGCATGGGAAATGTTGTTTACAATGCCTCCCGGCTCAATCCATAGACCAGAAAGACACTGCAAATTACATTCCACATACTGTTCAGAAGTAGTAGGGGCATGGAAACATCCGTTGCCTTAAGTGTTAGGAAAAAGTGGAGTATTCAGTCTTTGAATATATATGCCACTGGCGTTCCCTGCTTGCCTCTTGCACAGTGCCAGCTCTCTTGGCCTTTTCATATGTGTAATTTATGGGGTTGTCATTGTGTGGAAGATCTTCCATTCTTGCATTAGAAGCCAGAAGAGAACCCTTTGGCTCAATCTCTTTCAGCTTTTTACAAGAGATCTCCAAGACAGCTGAAAGAGATTGAGCCAAATACGAAGCAAGTCAGTGGGAAATTGCTCACCATTAATTCTGTGGAATGTACCCTTAGTTTAATAAAAATAATAGCACAAATCACAATGCCCCAAATAGTTATTGCTAAATAGAAATTTGTTTCTAATATGCTTTGGCTGCAAATATATACCACTAACCTGGGAGTAAACCTTTCAACTCAATGAGACTTAATTTCTGAATATACATGTAAAGGATTGCATTGTGCTTTTCTTTATTCTTGCCAGAGAGTGCCTTCTGTACAGGGATAACATTCCCATGGTACTCCCCTCCCAAGGTCCTTTTTGAACTTGAGAAGCAATAGCAGATTTTTAATCAAGGCTCTCACCTTTTCCCTCCTAAAGTCAACTGCATCACCAAGTTAATAACTCTAGTAATTTCTGGTAAGCCTTTCATTTCTAATATTTTTTTTGCTGACATACAGTAAAAGTTCTATTGAAGCTGTACATGCAAAGTCAAAGGAAATCTCTCCTTAATTAAAGGGAGTGCATAAAATTGATTTAATAAAATTCTAACATTACTTAATGATTGCCCCATACGAGGTTCTTAGCAAATATAGTGACATTTTACCTTAATCGATTCATGTCTTATTAAAATCGATACACTCTACAAACTATTGAATGGAGCATTAATAAAAATCTAATCCACTACACTATGAAAAACAGTTTATTCTAATACCAGGACTATTTGGTAAAAGAATTAAGCACTCGTAAACTGAATTGGTTTAAATCAGATATTTGCTTTATTAAATAAATTCTTGGAAAGATTATTCATTTTATCCAAAGTGGGAAATCATACTTTTTAGATTCCATTCACAGATGAATCTGGCTATCACGAATGAACTTGATTTCTCATCTCATAATTACGTAATCATACCTGTTGATATGCAGCTGAATATCTGAATGGACTCCATTGCAAAACTCTGCATATGAGTGGATGCGATGTGATAATAGGGAGCTTCTAGCTATGGAGGGTTTCCACAATGGCGGCTCACCCACCTACATAAATTGCCATTTGATGTGCTAAGCGACATGGAGCTAAGGGGAGGAAGGAATGAAGAAAAAAACCTGAAGTGGATGGAGAGATGGAAGGTGGTAGGAAAGCACTGCCCATGCCATTGGTTCATACTTGTGTCAAGAAAGGGGGAAATCCAAACAGATGAAGAGAGATGTATGGGGAGGCGGGAAACAGGAGACAGAGCAAGAGATAACTTTGCAATCCTTCAGTGTTGCAAAGTCTGCACACTATTGGCTCCACCCTGCTGACTTTCCAATGGATCTACAGCCCTGGGCAGAGACAAGGTTCCTGACAGCTGATCTATATGCTCATTCATTATTAGGACCATAAACAGAGATACAGTGGTACTTCGGGTTAAGTACTTAATTCATTCCGGAGGTCTGTACTTAACCTGAAACTGTTCTTAACCTGAAGCACCACTTTAGCTAATGGGGCCTCCCACTGCCACCGCGCCTCCGGAGCACAATTTCTGTTCTCAACCTGAAGCAAAGTTCTTAACCTGAAGCACTATTTCTGGGTTAGCGGAGTCTGTAACCTGAAGCGTATGTAACCTGCAGTGTATGTAACCTGAGGTACCACTGTATACCCATATCCAGCTATCCAACCTAACATGCATAATAGCTGCTGCTTTGCAATGAATACTAATAACTATAGAAGTTATTAGTGTTATTATAATATTTTATAATTAGCATTTTAAACGTATCTTTCCTTATTTGGATTCCCAGACTTTGAAACTCTGTGCATTGACATAAGGAGCTGAAAGTCCTTTAAAGTTAATCTTTTTTGATTTCTGGGAGTTTTTGCAGAGGCAAAATCCACTCTTTGTATTCCTCTGTATTATCTAATAATTAAACCACAAAGCTTGGCCCATTAGAACAGCTTCTGCTAGAATATTTGTGGCTTGTTCTTTCTAATATGTATTTCCTTTTATGTTTAAATTAAGCTGAAATTAGCAGGCAGAGAACATTTTAGCTGAATAACCACGTGAAGAGAAACAATTAGATCTTCATTTTTGTCAAGTTTTCTTCTGATAAAAAAGCATTTCCCTAATCATGAGGAAGAAATTAATACAAATGGAACCTAAAAGTTTAAAACAAGATTAGTACATTTGAGAGGAACTTTGAATGTCATGTCCCAAGATTCAATATGCTAGTCGTATATATGCCCTGGGAAAACCGTTGAATTTGCAAGCACTGTCCAAACACCGTTTCTCTGAAAGCTTTGAAATGATTGTGTTTTCCATAATTCATGTATGTTAATCTGAAAACACAAAGGCTCACTTCGCTGCTTTAAATTGAGAATTGCTTTGCTTAGTTAGATACACAATATTTGCTCACGTCCTAATTTGCAGAAATTAAAAAAAAACAACCCACTTTCCAGGAGAGCTTCAAAGAGCTGTTTGCTTTGCCTGAACTCATGCTTAGTTGTTAGGTTACTTTCAAACATCCTACATGTTACAGACTACTCTGTGGTGAAGACTTTAGATGTGTGTCTGCCTCTATTGCTCTCTGGAAAAAAAGACTGCTGCGCCTATAAGTGCTGCCTAGCAGACAGAATTTCAACTCTTCCTTGTAGAGTTAGGTAGTGATGCAAATGCTTTCCCTGTTGAATTTCTGCCTTTTGAGTAGCTGTGGCCTTAAGCCTCCAGTTAGCATCTTATCTAATGCAACTGACATGCAATTGAGTCATGCTGGCTGTGTAGCTGTGACAAGATAAACAAATGACTGTATGAATCTATATCTATGTTGTTGTTGTTTAGTCATTTAGTCGTGTTCGACTCTTCGTGACCCCTTGGACCAGAGCACGCCAGGCACTCCTGTCTTCCACTGCCTCCCGCAGTTTGGTCAGACTCAATTTGGATTGAGTCATGTTGGCTGTGTAGCTGTGACAAGAGAAACAAATGACTGTATGAATTTATATCTATATCTATATCTAGTCTGGTAGCACCTTAGAGAGCAACTAAGTTTGTTCATGGTATGAGCTTTCGTGTGCATGCACACAAAAGCTCATACCAAGAACAAACTTGGTATCTAAGGTGCTACATGACAATATATATATATGTCAGGGGTTCAGGAGCAGAGGCACAGGAAAGGGAGGAAATAGAGAGCGAGGGGGAGGAGTCCGAAGGAAATGTTAGCGATGACAGCGGTCCGAGGTCTCTGAGTCTTTCCAGCGAATCGGAAGATTCACAGAAAGGGGCTCCCTTGGTCAGAGCAAGGGGGTGCCGAGGGGACACCCCAGGAAGAAGGGGCCAGAGGGGACTCAGAGAGCAGCAGTTGGAAATCAGGACCAGCGTCCACACCAGAGTGCAGTAAGGGGGAGGAGTCCCAGGCATCGGGATCAGGCGGCGCACTGCCAGTGGGAGGACATGAGTCAGGATTGGCCACGCCTCCATCGGGGAGCGAGAAACGGTCGAGAGGAAGGTTGAAGGCTGGGCGCGCGCCAAGTTCAAATGTACAGGAGGGCGGCGCAGTTGGCAGCCCGGAGAGGAGCCTGCTCCCCCAGCCCGCCGAAACGAGGGGGAGGAGTCAGCGGGGTCAGCGTCAGAAGAATCCAGGAAGGAAGGGACCCCGGGGGGGTAGCAGGACCCAGAGGAGAAAGGAGAGACGTAAGAGGTGGAGTAAGGCTAGAATCTTAAACTGGTGTACAGGGGGCGGAGACTCAGATGGAGCTTCGCCGATCTAACCCCTAGACGTAGAGCTGGGGCGCTCCGGCTTGAAAATGGAAACTGTACTTCAATAAAGACTTTTGCACATTACTGCCGGCTAGCGTTGGTCCTCTGTGAGCTGGGACCTGGAGCCAGCTCTGACAATATATATATATATATATATATGTGTGTGTGTATCTATCTCTATATCTATCTATCTATATCTATATCTATATCTATATCTATATCTATATCTATATCTATATCTATATCTATATCATCTATATCTATATCTATCTATATCTATATCTATATCTATATCTATATCTATATCTATATCTATATCTATCATCTACTGTGTCAGACCAACACAGCTACCTACCTGAAATGACTGTATGCACATTTTGTAGATCTTTGTGGAAATGATGGTGTAGGTGGGAATCATGAGCGGTAATTCTTGTTCTACTTAAACTGAAAACCATTTGACTTACCTCTACTATGATCAGTAGAAAGCAGCTATTCCTCCATCCCCGTGCTCAATGTTTACGCCTAGCTAAGCAGAGGTAATGCACACACTCATGTACTGAAATTACAACACGACATGAGAGTGGCCCTAGCACTCACATATTCTCACAATGCATAGATTTTTTTGTGAACTGAGCTTATGTTTATGCTAGGGATAGAAGAGAAATTCAATTCAGTATGCATCCAAAACCAAATTGAAGTACTTGATTGTCACTTGTACAACTTGTATACAGTGAGATTACACAAATATATCAAATTCATAATTTTCAAAACAATAAGTGAACTGAAGTGCAGCTATTCTCTCCTCCCTGCAAATCACAACTATCTGAATTTTGCAATGCAGTTCTCCAACCAAACAATGTTTACAAGAATGCAGATATTAGGAGAGCATGCATAAAATGAAGATATTAATGAAAATATTCTTATCATCATTTATTAAATTTGTATGCCACTCTTCATCTGAACATCTCAGGGTGGTTCACAACATAACTGAAAAATGCATTATAGTAGGGAAAATTGCTTGCAAAAATATGTACATTGGTTGAAATTGCCATTAGGAGGAATTTGCACTAAAATGCTGATGAGTTTTTCATAAGGTTTTTTTTTTTTAAGCAAATAGCTGCAAAATCCAGAGGACTGAATTTAAGTGTGATTAAATGAGGAACTGAGAGAGCCAAACCTGACAGATCCTTTCATCCTTCGTTTATGCATTTGTATGCAAACAGGATTTGTCCCTCTGGCTCTGTCCCCACTGGCTCTGAATGAATATATATTCCCATGAAACCTGGTTCATACAAAACTTTTTGTATACTGTGGATAGGTGAAACTGAGGTTCATTCTTGTACCCCATTACATTCAGGTCTTAACCTGGTAGGACTGGAATTGAACAACCCTTGAACAAAGATACATTTGCATTTGTTGGAGACAGAGGAAAGATCAGCAGCCTGAGCCAGTTTTGAATATCAGTGCTGCAATAAAAAGCCAACACTTTTATTTCTGGTGCTTTGAGGAATTTTCAGAGAAAAGCTGCAATGATCAGATTTTGTCATGAACCGGCAGGACAGCAAGGAGGAAGAGGATCCTGGCGAGGGGGGCAGATGCGACCTGGACCCACCAGGGCAAGCCGGGGATAGGAATGGATAGGTTGGGGTTGTGGAAAGTACACCTGGGATGACAGAGGACAGCGAGGGGATGGGGTCAGTGTGCAGGGACCAGAAGAGCAGGACCCTTGATCAGAGCCAGAGAAGTCCCCGTCTTCACAAACAAGGTGGGCTCTGAGGCACAGGGAGTCATGGAAGGCACGCTGTGGGAGACTGAGGCAGGCAAGGCCCCCCAGCCCAGGTGGGGCTCATTAGATCTGAAAGGAGGTGTGTGATTCCTCAGCTGGGGTAGGTTGAAAACAGATGAGGGTCACATGTCTCACCAAGCCCAGATGCTGCAATGAGCATGAAAGGTATAAAAGGGAAGCAGAGCTGAGGTGTTGTGTCTGTTCAACTGCCCATAGTTAATGGACCTTGGCTTGGATGCTACAGGAACTTTATGAGACTGTGTTTCCTGACTGCTGGACTTTGGACTTGGTTTACGTGGACTGACCCCAGGCCAGGTTTCCTGACTGTTGAACTTCGGCTTGATATACTGTATACGCCAGCAGGACTTTCCACCAGGTAGGCTGAATGTACACGACAGATTTTCCCAGACTGATGGATTATGGAAGCCCTATACAGTAAAGAACCACTGGCAAATGCTTTGGCTTCATACTTAATACAGTGGTACCTCGGGTTACATACGCTTCAGGTTACAGACTCCGCTAACCCAGAAATAGTGCTTCAGGTTAAGAACTTTGCTTCAGGATAAAAACAGAAATCATGCTCTGGCGGCGCAGCAGCAGCAGCAGGAGGCCCCATTAGCTAAAGTGGTGCTTCAGGTTAAGAACAGTTTCAGGTTATGTACGGACCTCCAGAACGAATTAAGTACTTAACCTGAGGTACCACTGTAGTACATAAACCTTTTTTTTGTACTACGTAAGAACATTGGCAAAAGTGTCTTCATTAGGGGAGATGTTGTCACGGCTTAAAATTAGCCGCTGTCTCTTTAATACAAAAGGAACTGAGTCAGCATGAGTCAGCAGCCTACAATGTATCGGCAAAGCCTGCATGACTCATGCAACCTTTCACCTACACATGCCTGTATATATAGAGTGGTCATTGATTGTGTGTGGTGTGGGTTGGTCGGATGGTAGAAAGTTGGCTGAGTTTGGTATGTGTAAAAAGCTGTCGCTTGTAATTGGAGAAGAAGATTTTTAAGAATAAAAGCAGCAATACTTTGCAAAGATACTCTTTCTCAAGGACTCTTTTGTGTGAACTAGGGTCCTAGGACCAGGTGAAGGAGTGAAAGGAGGTCAGAACCTTTTCTTTTTTGAACTCTGACAGATGTAATTAGAACTCCTTCTGAAATTCCACATTCACACTAAAGCTGCAAAAGTCACCCTCCTACAAGATTGCAAAGCTTTGCCCTCTTTCTAAATTGTGCATAGCAATTCAACCAACTTTACAGAGCTGACATTACCTGGAATGTCTATTTAAGCACTGATGACAAAGCAGGAAGGAAAGGGGAGAGTGAGAAATTGTTGAGTATAATAGCTTGATACAACAATTAGGAGAATGGCTGCATTCAAATGACCTGGCTGCTATTGTTGTGCTCAGTGGAATATTTGGTGGAATTACATTTCATTTGAAAGCGTCAGGTCAAGGTTCTGTTGAGGCAGAGTAGAAAAGTTGCGTTCCTGAAGCTAAGGTGTTAAGGTTGGAGTTACCCATCGACACTCCTGTATGCATCTTAACTGATTTGCCTCCACAGTCCTTCCACAGATCACTGCTTTTTGCGTAAAATGGCATTGTCTTCCGAGGAAGATGTAGGAGATGCTGCAATTTTCCCAGTGGTCCTTTGCTGGAAAAGAAAAGCCTAGTGTAGCATTACTGAAATTAAGTGTAGGTGTAGATAAAAGATGAGGAACCTGTGGCCCTCCATATGTTGTTGGAGGATGGTCAATGGGCAGGGATGATGGGAGCTGTGGCCCAGCAGCATCTGAAAGTTTTGCATCCCTGGGAGGGAGGGATGGGGAACCTGTGAGCTTCCAAATGGCTATTAGTCATGCTTGCTAGGATTGATGGGAGTTGGGAGTCCACCAAAATCTGGAGGGCCACAGATTCCCTATCCCCGTCCTGGTCAGTGCTTTTTTTCTGGGGGTACGCAGGGGTACACATACCCCTAAACGTTTTGTGAATCTTTGTACTTTTCTCCATTTACTGTCTTTATTTTTCCTGATTTGAACTATAAAATGGTGATTTTCTTGAGCCAAAATGAGAGTACCCCTAAACATTTTTTTCCAAAAAATCACTGGTCCTGGTTATAACTAGTCTTGAATTCAGACTGCCAATCTGGACAGTAGTTTTTATTAGTTTATTTGAACCCTTGTTTAATCAAATGGTTTAGATGCCCCTCCCTAGGCATATTTCACAGCAAAAGCTTCCCTGAGTTTCCATTTCATCTTTGAATATGAGCAGCTCCATATTTTGTGTACATTTTCCCTGCTTGCTACAATGCAATACACATTAATCCTCAATGAATCTCTCTCTCATGTTTGTGGATTAACGTGCTTCTGTGGCATAATGAATACTCTGTACTCGGCTTTCCTTCCTCTACTCTGTTACCCACAAGGCCTGTTAAATATATTTTAAAACCATAGTTTTTTTGTTGAATGTTTTAAAAACAAATAGCAGATGCCTTATTAATTTTGCTGGCTGTAGGTAGATTTTCATGTTGTGATTGTTATAAAACTGATGGAGAATTAAGCA